ATTATATGTCGTGGGGTAGTTCTATTTTGGTCAGGTTGTTTGGAGTTCTGGAGGACTTGTGCACCTGTATGGGCATAGTTTTCTCTATATTTGGGAAATTTTCTGTTATTATTTTATTGAATATATTATGCATTCCCTTTGCTTGAACCTCTTCTCCTTCTTCAATGCCCATGATTCTCAGGTTTGGTCTTTTGATGGAGTCAGTGAGTTCTTGCATTTTCTTTTCACAGGTCTTGAGTTGTTTTAACTAATAGTTCTTCATTTTTGCTTTAATTACCATTTCATCTTCGAGTTCTGAGATTCTGTCTTCTGCTTGTTCTGTTCTGCTGGGTTGGCCTTCCATTTTGTTTTGCTTTTCTGTTTCGTTCTTTTTTCTGAGGTTTTCCATGTCCTGAGTTTCTTCCTCTTTAATATTGTCTATTTTCATTCTGAGTTCATTTATCTCTTTATCATATTCTTTGTTTCACTTTGGTGTTTATACAGTGCCTCTATAGTTTTTTTTATTTGTTGTGCTGTCTCAAATTCTCTATTTTTGTTTTCTTGAAATTTCTTGAGTGTCTCCTGGACATTTTGTTGACCATATCCAGTATCATCTCTATAAAATTCTCATTGATTACTTGCAGGATTTCTTTTTTCAGAGTGTTTTTGTGGGCTTCATTGGGTCCTTTGGCATAGTTTATCTTTGTTTTGTTGGAGTCTGGATCTGGGTATCTGTTTTCTTCATTTCCCTCTGGTTCCTGTACTAATTTATTATTGGGGGGAAAATGGTTTCCCTCTTTTTTCTGTCTCCCCATCATTGCCCTTGCTATTGTTACTGTCCCTGTACTGTGTGTAATTCGATATTGTCTAGCTTGTAATAATAACAATGGTGATATCTAGAATGGAAGAAGAGAGGGAATGCAAAGAAGGTAAAGAAAAAGGGAAAAAACAAAACAAACAAACAAAAAAATAGAGCCAAAGAAATAAACAGGGAGAGATAGTGTACTAATCAATGGTAAGCTAAACTGGGATTAGAGAGACAGAGGGAGGATGATAAAAAAAAAATCCCCAAGTTCAAATGCAATAAAGTTTCAGTCTTAATAATTTTGGCTTTAGTCGTTCAGCCTCCATTCCTAGTGTTGAAGTCTGAGAAGTAGTTCTGTCATTATCTTATCAAAGGGGAAAAAAACAACAAAGAAAAAAATCCCAAGTTCAAATGCAATACAGTTTCAGTTAGTCCTTCAGCATCCAGTCCTGGTTCTGTCCTTGTCACATCAAAGGAAGAGAAAAAAAAAAAAAAAGAGTCTGGAGACAGCTTTGTGAATGTCTATCTGAGGCTGTGGCTCACCTACCACCTACTGTCAGCCATCTGCTGCTGCAGGCTTTATTTATTGCAGATCTCAGGAATGAGCTCTGTACTCACCTAGCCCGCAGACTTTATGTAGAGTTCTCCTGGATGCATGCCCCTTTTGTTTTCTCCAGTATACAGCCCTACCCACCTTTTGCAATTGCAGTCTTTTTTGATTTAGAATTTGCCCCTCCCCCACTCTCCAGTGGAGCATACCACACTTTAGCTGCCATTGGAAGCCTTCCCCTCTCCAAGCACACTGGGGGAGGTGGCACCACACCTGCCTTCTCCAGCTGGCTTATTTATTTTCAGTTCGTGTGAGGGGGTGCCCCTCCCCCACTCTCTGGAGCTCAGGGCGCCCCACCCTCTTTGCTATATGTCTTTTTTTTTTTTTTTCAGCTGCTTGTTTATTATTCAGTTTGGTTTTTTTCTCTTTTTTCCCTGGATGTGGGTCGGTCTGTCCAGGGGGCTATGCTGATTTGGCCCAGGGTTGTCTGTGGGAGTACCGCGTACCACTTAACTCACCTTGTGGTCTGCATCTTCCCAAGCCATCTGGGCACTGGCGTCTGGCGGCGGTGCAGGACTCCTCCTGGTTTCTCCATTTAACATGAAGTGGAGATTCTCTGCACAGGCTGGGGGTGTGGAGGGGTCAAAGTTTTGCCTCTTCTTGGTGGTTTTTCCTGTAATGTGTATCTCCAGTGTCTCTCCAAGATTTTACTTTAGGAAGAATGCTTTGTGCTTCCTTCCTCTAGTCGCCATCTTGGAATCCTTTTTTTTTTTTTTTTTTAAAGGACAGATCTCACTGTAGCCTAGGCTAGCCTAGAACTTGCCGTATAGCCCAGGTTGGCCTCAAACTCATGATCTTCCTGCCTTAGCCTCCTGTAATTACAGGAGTATGTCCCCATGTCTAACAGTAGATTTTCTTAAGGATACAAGGGCAGAAATTTTGGTTTTTAATTAATTAAGCAGTACAGGGATCAAACGCACACAAGTGCTCTAACACTGAGATATATCCCCAGGTGTTCAATTTTTCAGTCTTTTTATTTTGAAACTTTTTTTTTGTGTGTGTGGTACTGGGGTTTGAACTCAGGGTTTCACGCTTGTTAAGCGGGCTCCCACTAGAACCACATATCCAGCCCTTAAATTTAGAATAAATTTCTAAAAAATAATACAAAGAATGTTCATACATCCACCTACATTACTCAGTTTTTCACATATTGTTATATTGTCTCTTAGTTGTTTTTTGAGCAATTTATTAGTAATTGCAGATACACTCTATCACCCCTTAGTACTTAAATGTGTGCTTACTAAAGTCAAGAACACTCCTACATGATCACACTACAATCATCTGCTTGAGGAAACTGACTTGATACAGTATATAGTTTAATCCACAGAGCCTATTCAGATTTTCCCAATTCTCCAATAATGTTTCTTTATCATTTTTAAACTGTGGTTTACTGTTTATTTATTTTGAGATGAAATCTTGCTGTGTTGCTCAGGCTGACCTCCTGGGTTCAAATGACCCTCCTTCCTCAGCTTTCTGAGTAGTTAAGACTTGAGGCTCATGCCACTCTACCACTACAGTAATGAACTCTAAAAGATATGTTTGCATGTATTTGTTTCAATCTGGCACATTGGTTTTTTTGTCTTTATTTGTTGTACATTATCTTTGTAAAATGTAAAATTAGGTTTGCCTGATAGTTGGTTCTTCATGATTAGATTCGGTTAATTGATTTGGGGCAGAAATAATTGAATTTTATTCTCAGTGGTCATGTCAAGAGTTACATAATGTCTATTTAGTCCATTACTGGTGATGTTAATTAACTGTGATCTCTTGGGTAAGTTAGCTAACTTGTTTTAAAAGTACTAATTAATTAAATTAATACTACTAATTCACTGTGCAGGAATGAAAAATTAGCAGATACTAATGTAACCAAGTGATCAAAGTTAATATTTCAAGGGAGATACTTTGAAATTCAATGTCCTGTTACTCAAACTTTTATTCACTAGTTGCTTTTTTGTTTTTTGTTTTTTTAATGCAGTATTGGTGTTTGAGCTCAGGGTCTGCTGCTTACTAAGCAAGCATTCTACCACTTGAGCCACACCTCCAGTCCTTTTTGTTTTAGGTATTTTGCAAATAGAGTCTTGTGGTTTTACCTGGGCCAACTGGACCACCATCTGTCTACATACAGCCTCCATGCAGCTGGGACCACAAGTCACCATGCCTGGTTTATTTGTTGATATGGGGTCTCACTACTTTTTCCCCAGGCTGGCCTTGAACCACAGTCCTCCTGATCTTCACCTCTGGAATAGTTGGTATTACAGGTGTGCATCACCATGCCTGACCTCAGCATTAATGGCATTCTTTTGTTAGAGCTTTTCTGGCTCATTTATTTTATTCATTTTTTTTCATTTAGTCAGCATGGACTCATGTAGTACTATTTTATTCAATAATATAAGCCATTTTTAATGACTTATTTTTATACTCACATTGTCCCAGATATGGCCAGCGGTACCTCCTTCAAACTCACTTTATACTTTTTGTTCCAACCATTTCTCCAGAAGCTCTGGTTACCTTTATTGAGGAAGGCTTTTCTGAATCCACAACCTGGGTGTCTATTGCCACTAGTGTATCATTGTTTCTTGGCCCTCTCAGAGGATCTAGCTAGGAAATGCTTGTATTTCATACATATACCCACACATACCTCTCTTTCCATCCATATGTATATACTTATACATATAAAAAATCCAATTACAGCCATCCTCAGCTCAGCCCCACTGAGCATGTCACACATCTCTGGCCAGGAAAAAAAGACTTTCTTATTTAAAAATTTTTTTAATATTATAAAATATGTACATGTTTGCTACATATGAGTTAGAAATTACAGAGAAGCAAGAAGGCATTGAAGGGCAGGGTGCATTGCTCAGCTGGCTGGGCATTGGCCCTGACTCCAATCCATGGTATTGCCTAAAAAGAAAAAGAGAGAAAAGTTGTATTTGTACAATAGCTTTTTTGGGGGCAGTATTGTGGTTTTAACCCAGGGCTTCTTCCTTGCAAGGCATGCTCTTTACCACTTGAACCATACCTCTTTTTGTTCTGTTATTTTAGAGGTAGGGTCTTGCTTTTTGCCCAGGCCAGCCTAGACCACAATCTTAATATTTTAAGCTTCCTGTCAATGCTAGGATGACAGGTGTGTGCTACCACACCCAACTTTTTCTGTTGAGATAGGGTCTCATAAACTGTTTTGTCCAGGCTTTCCATGATCCCCCCGATCTCAGACTCTCAAGTAGCTAGGATTATAGGCATGAGCCACTGGTAGCCTGCTTATAGTGTCTCTTTTTCTCCTTGAAATTTAGCCTGTAGCAGTTTTCTTGTGTGTTACTATAACACCAAAAATAGCTGGGTGCCAGTGGCTCACACCTATAATCCTAGCTATTTGGGAGGGTCATGGCTCCAGGCCAGCTTGGGCAAATAGTACATGAGACCCCATCTCCAAAATAACAGAGAAAAGTAGACTGGAGTTGTGGCTCAAGTGGTAAAGTACCTGCTTTATAAGCATGAAGCCCTGAGTTCAAACCCTACTCCCCCCACTAAAAAAAAAACACATGCTTATAGAGACTTTGTTAAATTTATGAGCATAGTAATTAAGACTCTCAAATTCTCTTTTCTCAGGAATCTTTGGCAGCTGAGATTGAGGGAACCATGCGTAAAAATTTGAGTTTGGATGAGGAATCCTCTCTCTTTAAACAAAAGTAAGTATAAATCACAAGTGGTTGTTACTCAGCCACTGGAATGGATATTTAAGAGAAGCCACGGGGCCAAGAATTCTATAGTTGAGCATTTGCCTAGAATGTCCAAGGTTATGGGTTTTATCCCTCAGCACTGCAAAAAAAAAAAGGCTACAATTATGAAATTCAGTAGTAAATCTGATTACTACTCAGTTTTGTTTTGTGTTCTGGATTGTCTTCACTTAAGAGATAATTCTTTTATTGTAAAGTTTATTTTCTACTAACTTCTCCTAAACATCAGTGACCATTCAGGGTGGCTTTATTTCTCATGAACTGTATATGTATGATTCTTCTGAAGTGCTCTGGAGGTTGACAGTGATGGAATGAATTCTTCCTTTTTTGACAGAGCCCAACAAAAACGGGTGTTTGATACTGTCAAGGTTGCAAATGATACACGGGGCCGCTGTGTCCCATTCCCAGCTCTGCTACCCATCCCAGGCTCGAACCGTTCAAGTGTTATCATGACAGCAAAACCTTTTGAGTCTGGTGTACAGCAAACAGAGGACAAAACACTCCTGAACCAGGGGAACAACTTAGAGGAGGTTCCTGGGTAAGAAACACAGACCACAACAGTTATTCTGCATTTCTTGTGTTGTTTGTGAACCAAATTCACATATTCAAATTCCAGCATTACTCCATACTATCCCATGATGGTTCTGGCACTGTCAGTTTTCATTCACTTGTGATGCTATACATCATTATTTGTAGGATACATCATTGAATTCATAAAAACTTCAGGAGTGAAAAGACTGAATTCAATTAAGTGTATTCAAAATGAAGTTTGCCTTTACCACCAAAATTCTTTACTTCTTTAGCATTGCAAAGTATGAGTCTAAATCTTCATGTTCAAAGTCCAATTTGTTTGAATCCCATTTGGTCATTAACATAAATATATCAAATGACATTTTCTTATAACCCACCTCATAACCTCAACCATTTTGCTGCTTTATGAATAAACAATAAGTTTGAGTACTTTTTTTGCACTCAAACTCAAATCTTTATTTGTTTAAACTTAAATATTTTTCCTTCTTTCATTAACTCATTGTATTGAATTACATATGGCTAGAAGTTAAACAACTTTACTGCAAAGTCAGCAGAAAGCTTTTGAAAGATAGATGTTTGGCACCTCAGGGAAATCTTTCCTAATGCAGAAATCCTTCACACATGGTTTCAGTTTTATTGCGTGGTCTGTCACGTGCAATGTTCTCTACTCATGGTAAGTTTATGTGTCAATCCCATCTCATTATTACACAATTGTCTTAGGAAAAATACTGCCACAAGTCTGAGAATTTGCACACAGTGGCCTAGAGCAACTATAACACCTCCTTTTATATTGATTTTAAAATACCTCAATTTCACAATGTTGAAAAGTGAAAAAATATGAATAAGAGAACTTTGAAAATCTATATAAATCTTGTTTTAAATTTTCTGCAATATTTGAGGGGAATTCTATGACTCAAAACAGATTTTTTCACAATATTTTTATTTTGCGGGGGGACAGAGTCTTGCTAAGTAGCCCAGGCTAGTCTCAAACTTGCTATGCAGCCCAGGCTGGCCTAGAACTCATGATCCTCCTGCCTCAACCTCCCAAGTGCTGAGATAATAGACATGTACCACCATGCCTACCTCACAATTTAATATTTTTAAAGTTTTTATGTCTGCAAGTAGTGGCATTTAATTGGTAGCATTTTCTCTGTCTTCATAGTATGTGAAACAGTGGTACTGTTTGCAATCAGTGATAGATTACTTTTGTGACTGTGTCAATCTGAATATTTAAATAAACCTATCTAGTTTCATAAGTTAAATAGACATGTTAGCAAACACAACATAACAATAAAATATACTTTTTGCTTCTCTAAAGTCATTTGAAATGATCTGTGATGTTATTCCTGGTGATTTTGGTTCATTTTGCTATTTCTGTATTATAGGTGTCTCAGAAAATACTTTTTTTAAGTTTTTAAGATCAGTTTCATGAAAGTTCACCATTATAGAAAGGAATGGTCTAGATTATGCCCATGACTTTATGATCTAATCAGTGAGTGTGGTTTTCCCATAGGAGCTCTAAGTCAGTGAGCCAACCAGGACCCTCTGAAGATAGTGATTTGGCTACAGCACTGCATCGTCTTAGCCTGAGAAGACAGAACTACTTAAGTGAGAAGCAGTTCTTTGCTGAAGAATGGGAACGGAAGATCCAGGTTCTGGCTGACCAGAAAGAAGGAGTTAGTGACTGTGACACCCCCACAGAGAGCCTTGTGTCTCTCTACACCAACCAGTCAGAGATCACAGACCTCAGCAGCACCAGTTGCCTTCGAGGCTTTGTGCCAGAAAAATTACAAATTGTCAAGCCCCTTGAAGGTAATAAGTTAGTAAAAGCCCTTTATAAGCCATGTGGCTTATTGAACTTTCCTTTCTCTGGAATTGAGATTTGTATAAGAGTACTATGTGCAGAAGATATCTTTGTTATCCTTAAATCTTGTTGTACTTCATGGAAAATTAGTGCATGGAGAGATGAGCATTCTGTAAGTCATCAGTCGTCATTATAAATATGAAGGGGAGGGGGAGGAATCTCTGTCTTTTGCTAAGGAATATCATTGACATATGTAATACATCATCTCTACCTCTCTTTTCCAAAACGAACTCTTTACCCAAGAAGTGGAACAGATGGTATTTTTCTTTTTTGTTTTTTTCAGTTCATTTTCTGATGTAAGATAGAACTTGAATTCAAAATAAACTTCTTTGTTTTATGGAATGTTAACAGTCCTTGAATAGTTCTTTGACATTATTATAAAAGAGTTCTTTATGAAAAAAAATTTGGAAAAGTAACCTATAAAGATCCCTCAAAGGTTCAGCAACTTAGCTTGATGCAAGTATTTGTCAGAGTTGCCATTTTTAGTATGAAATGACCACAGTGACATAATTGGATGTTACATCTGGTGCAAGTGCTTAAGATGATCATTCACCAGTGTCCCATAGACCAGAACCAAGGGAATGTATACTCTGCTTTATCACCTTCATTTTCCTAGTCTCCCTGGGAGCCCAGGGAAAGGAGAGTCATGAGCAGTGTGGAGAAGTACACAAAGACACTACTGAACATTTAAGTTGTCTTCCAACCTAGGAACCTAGCTTTGCTTCTGAGTTCATAGGCCAAGCCAAGTGAACATTGCTTTTTATCACCTTGGAAAATATATCCCATCTCTGCCTCTTCTGAGGTACATATTGCCTTTTTCCTCACTGCCTCAGCATCCTAGTCTCTTTTAAGAGGGTCCTCTTGGTTTCTTCTCCCTTTCTTTAGATGGTCTTTTTAAAGTTAACATTTGAAATAGAAAGATTAGTACTGGTACCTTCAACATCTTGTCAATCTACCATGAAGAACTTGAATTTCCAAATTTTAACAAAATATCAAGACCACATAATTAATTTTATTTTTTATTACTATCATTATTGTTATTACTCATATAATTTTAGGTTCTGTTTTAAGAGTTAAGATTTGTGAAAAATGTAAAACGTGCCTCTTTTGCTTGCATATTCAGGATCACAAACTTTACATCATTGGCAACAGCTTGCTCAACCAAACTTGGGAACCATTCTTGATCCACGACCAGGTGTCATTACTAAAGGCTTTACCCAGTTGCCCAAGGATGCTGTCTATCACATCTCAGATTTAGAGGAGGATGAAGAGGAGGGTATCACTTTTCAGGTTCAGCAGCCTCTTCAAGTGGAGCAGAAACCTGCAGTATCCAAGCAAATAGCAGGGATCTTCCTGCCACCCATTTCTTCAGCAGGTGGACCAGTTACAGGTGAGAAGAGTACTTGGTTGAATCTGGCCTAGTAACCAATGCCATTTTGCCTACTAACTTACTGTATGGTCAGCTGATTACCTCTGCCCAAATCTCACTGAAATATGGTCAGCTATCTATCTCTGCTCAGATCTCACTGGAATACACTCATTATTGAATATAAGATAATGAAAATCTACAGCTGGCAATGTAGCTCAGTGGCAGAGTATATGCACAAGGCCCTGGATTCAATCCCCAGTATCATTAAAAAAAAAAAAAAGAAAGAAATCTGTTGGGTGTCGATGGTTCACACCTGTAATTCTAACTACTCAAGAAGCAGAGATCAGGAGGACCACAGTTCAAAAACAGCCCAGGCAAATAGTTTGTGAGACCCTATTTTGAAAATACTCAACCCAAAAAAGGGCCTGGGGGAGTGGCTCAAGTGGTAGAGCGCTGCCTAGCAAACATGAAATCCTGAGTTTAAACCCCAGTACCGCCAAAAAAAAAAAGTGAAGAAAAAAATCTGTAGCACTAATGACATTCCTAAGTCTCTCCACTTTTATTTTATCAGTCTGCATAAATAGATTGGGCAAAGAAGTAAATCATTCAGCAGTTTGCAAACCTTTTGGCTCAGGATCACTTTATACTCTTAAAAATCTTTGAAAATCCCCCCAGAGGGCTTATCTATGTGGATTATATTTATTGATATTTACTATATTAGATATCAAAACTGAGAAATTATTAAAATAGTAACTCACTTAAAAATAATAGTTACATGTTATACAAATACTATGTTTATGAAAAATAGCTATATTTTTTAAGTAGTGAAAAAAATGGTTTTGTTTTACAATTTTGTGAGTTTCTAACTTAGACTTAATAGAAGATAGCTAAATTCTCATGAGCATCTACATTCAGCCTTTTGCAGTGTTACATTGTTTTGATCGAACAATATGAAGAAAATGCAACCTTATACAAACATGTAGTTGGAATAGGATTTTCAGGGATTTAATATTTTTTGATATTATGCCAGACTTGGTAAGTATAGTTTCTTAAACATTTATAGCAGTGTGGAATCAGAAACTGCCTTAATGAATTTTCATACTTTGCTATCTGAAAATGCATTGGTCTACCCTACACTTTGAACATATGTTTTACTTGTGCATGGTTTGGTAACATGCATTGATCTTTAAGAAAATATTGTTTAACTGAGTTATCTCAGTCTTTCAAACGTTGACACATTTTATTATATATTAAAATCTCATTAATATTATCACCTTTCTCGATAGAAAAGGCTTTAACTACTAGAAAGCATTCAGACTGTCAGTTGGTGTATACAAATTTTCCAAATTTCACTTGAAAACTCAAGTATTGTCACTGGCAGAAAATATTGTCAGCTATTTTTCTTGAAGCAGCAGGCTCACGCCATTCATTTTCAAGAAAATGCCTGCCAAAACCCCTAGTCTGAATAACTGTAGCTTGTCTGTTAGTTGTTCTCTCAAGTAAAACTGGTGTTCTGTGACAACATTTCAACTCAACTGCACAAATGCTTTTCCTCTAGAAAACTATTATCTTGGCTTGCAGCAGGAGTGCTTAATGAATGCTTCTCAATTCATTGCCAACATAGTAGAAAGATTCAAGACCCAAGACTAAAGATTTAATGGATAATTTTTATTGCTTTATCAAGGACACTTTTAAGTAAATTAATACTGTGAATGCATAACAATGAAGAATATAAGTATAATTTGGTGACATTGTCTTGATTTGTGCTAAGGAGGCAACAGTTTTAACCCACCATTGTTTTTGGAACAGCAGTGCAAATGTCAACCTCCTCAAAAAGAAAAGGCCCCCATCCTAGCATTACTATAAAAGTGGTTTTGAGCTATGGAGTCTGACAGTCTGTAGACCACACTTTGAGAACAAGAGGAGTACTGCGGTGGTTTTTCTCTTATTTCTAAGCTATCTTTATGCCTTTTTGCTTATAGTTTTAAAGTATTGAAGGAGTCTGCTATATACTAACCAGTAATACTAATTTAGTCTGCATATTTTATTTTATTTCCATATTTGAAGATTTTTACTACAAAAAGCACTTGACAAATGCTGTATTATTAATAAATGTTAACCTTTTTACGTAATTAACCTAGTCTTTCAATTTTGTGTTTGGCTCCCTAAAAATCTCTATTTCAGTTGCAACCTCAAACCCAGGAAAGTGTCTGTCATGCACGAACTCGACATTCACCTTTACCACCTGTAGGATATTACATCCCTCTGATATCACTCAGGTTACCCCTAGGTAAGAGGGCCTGGGAAATCTGGGACCTCAAATGAATTTCTGTTTTTAATTACCTTTATTTTGCTTCCCAGAATTTTAATTAATGTTCTGTGATGGTTTGTCTTTAGGATATTTTTACATTGTATTTTCTCATTTGATCATTATCACTCTTTAAAGTAGGCAGGACAAGTGACTTTGTATTGTGTAAAATAAAGGAACTGAGGAATAGAGAGTTGAAGTGACTGGTCCAAGGGCAGACAGCTAATAAATGACCCAACTGAGGCCATACCCAAAGTTAGCTACTCACAAGGTTTGAGGGATCTGTCCTTTGCACAAGACTCCTTCGCTTCTGATACTACCTGCAAGTTGAGGGGGTTCCCAAGACCTCCTAAGTTCAAGTTCAGTAATTGACTAGAAGGACTCACAGAATTCATAGAAAGCTATTGTACTTGTGTCTGCTGTTTATTATAAGGAAAAGATGGGTTAAAACTATCCAAAGGAAGAAATGCTAAGGCACAGACTCTAGGGTTCTGCACATGAAGCTTCTCTTGTTCTTAGGATTCATTAGTCTCTCATCATCAGTGTGTGACAGGCACATGAAATATTGCCAACCAGTGAAATTCACCCAAGCATCAATATCCATCCCTAGTTTTTATTGGGTTTTATTATGTAAGCATAATCAGTTGAACTCCCTCATGGTTGAACTTCAGCCTGCGAGTCCACTGATACTACATGACCCATTCAGCCCCACCCCCAAAAGCACAGAAGATGATTAGGTACGGCCAAATCTATCCTATGGTCTAGTGTGACCAACCCCAATTCCAACCAAAGACAATCTTCTGAATTATAACACAGATTGCCTCCAAAAGCAAAAGTCTCAGACCTCTGGGCAAGGCCAAATTATTTACTACACAGGCTTCCTGTAGCCATGTAGGTGCCGTTTCTATCCTTCCAGTTCCCAAAAGAATCTAAGGTAGCTTTCAGAGACACATTGACTATTGTTAGAGATGATAGAACCTAGAAGTAGAAAAGGAAAATAATGCAAAAGGGATTCAGGACTAAGGAATTAAAATGGGTAAAGGAATAAAACCTAGAGTATGGATTGTATCATAAAGTCTTGTATATTAGTTAAGATAATCCATGCATTTGAATCTTAACTAGCTGCCACTATGGAGGGAAATAAGAATGTGATTCACAGTGTTTGTAAGATAGCAAATCGACTCCATAGGGAAGCATTTGGATGATATCCAGTAAAGATCCAAATAAAGCCTATAAACACATCTGTCATTTTTCTACTTTATTCTTATAGTCACCAAGATAAGTTTTATGAAACTGGTTCTTGAAGGGACTTTTAATACAGATTGATACCATCATATGAAGTATTCAATTCGGGAAGAAGGACAGGCCATTGTACAGTGAAGCAGTAATAGTGGGTTTAGAGACTGGACATACAGAATAGACTGCACCACATCAGAGATTCTTAGTTGGACTGATTTGATCAAGGAGTCAAATTTGCTTGAATGTTGCTTCTTTTATTTAAGTTGTTGCTATGGAAAGTTTCTTTATTAACCTTGAACTTGCATTTTGTTCATAATCATTAAAATTCTTGGTATCTGTAATTAATATATGTGATCATTTTGTATTGAAGTGAAAGTTTATTAAATACTGGTAACATTTGTTCAGGGAAGAAAAGTAGCTAGGGAAGAACCCTCTCAATTCCATCACCAGTTCCTTAAGTACATGATTTCTTAAGTTTTTCTTCTTAACTGAGCACAGAATAAAAAGAAAGATTGTAATAACTGTCAAAGCTTTTAATTTTTTTTAATTTCCTAGACACACATGTTAAAGTCAAGGTCGAGAAAAATGTGTTCCATAGGTATACATACACTACTGTAGTTTAGAATTAATATTTCTTGAGGAAATGGGAGTTTAGCAACTAGCAGTTTTTTATTTCTCAGTGATATAAAATTGAAAAATTAAAAAGAAGTTTCACCTTAAAAGACCAGTTTGGGTCTAATTATGAAAGATTGTATTTCCTAAAAAGTTGAAGCATTGTTTACCTATAGATTATTGCTTGTTTGGTATATTTCACTGTATGGAATAGAGCTATTAATAAAAAATTAAGCACCGGGTTGGGATTGCTTTTTTGCTTTTTATTCTTAAACACTCTCTCCTGCTTTTCTTACAGCTCTGGGTTCCCTTCGCTATCCTGTGGAAGTAGTGGGAGCAGTTCATCAAACACGGCTGTGAACTCTCCTGCCATGTCCTACAGACTCAGCATTGGTGAATCCATCACAAACCGACGAGATTCTACTATAACTTTCAGTAGCACCATAAGCTTGGCCAAGCTTCTGCAAGAGCAAGGCATCTCTGCTAAAGTGTACCAGAGCCCAATTTCAGAGAACCCCCTCCTCCAGCCTCTCCCTAAAGCCCTGGCTACCCCTTCCACACCACCAAATTCCCCATCTCACTCTCCGTGCTCTTCTCCCTTGCCATTTGAGCCCCGAGTGTGTATCTCTGAAAATTTTTTGGCCTCCCGACCAACTGAAACATTCCTCCAGGAGATGTATGGCCTAAGGCCTTCCCGGAACCCTCCTGATGTTGGCCAGTTGAAGATGAACTTAGTAGACAGACTGAAAAGACTAGGGATTGCCAGAGTGATCAAAACCCTTAACACCCAGGAGAATGGGAAAAGCCAAGAGGCTGAAATTGGTCTTCAAAAACCAGACTCTGTTGTTTATTTAAATTCAGGTAGCAATTTATTGGGTGGACTGAGGAGGAATCAGAGTCTCCCAGTCTTGATGGGTAACTTTAGTGCCCCAGTTTGCACATCTTCACCCAAAATGGGTATCCTGAAGGAGGACTGAGGCTCAGCACTGACTGAGCTCTTACAAAAATTAGCACATGAAGGATGGACTTGCACTGATACATGAGATCTGGTCTGACTTGAAAGAAAAGAAATGTTGCAGAAAGGTTGTGAATGTGAAGAGGGGGAAGTGGAGGAATGGAAACAAAATTGAGATGAGGTCTTCATGGATGAAGTCTGGTAAATTGAAAATGTAAATGTCATGAAATGTTTGGAGACAGAAAAGGATGAAAGGTTTATACACTCCTTCAGTTTTTATGTCTTGAAAATAAAAAGTGAATAGAAAACAATTTAGGATTATTGAAACATGCCAGAAATACTGAATACTTCTAGGGAACATAAACAGAGAGAACCTACCTAAAAGGGTGAGAAGAAAAGGAGCAACTTTGACTGTTGCTGGTAGAAAACTGTTCCAAAAGGTTGGTGCAGTAAGTTTGGTCTGTTATTGAGACAGTCATGAGATGCTTATGTTTCCCTTGCTAATGGCTGGTCAGATTATGCATCCATCTAATGGTGTGCTCACAGTACTACAAAGCAAGGAACTTTATCTTTTTCATTATATCAGAAGTGGAGACTCCCTTTTGCTTTTCCATTTTCAGGCCTTTGAGCCACTGGGAGCACAAACACTGTTCAAACTCCTTTGTATTTATGATTAATAAAAGTTCATTTTGAAAACTGATGGTATGACTAAGTGCTAGAGCACTTGCCTAGCAAGTACAAGGCCTTGAGTTGAAAGCACCAATATCACCAAAAATAAATTCAAGTTTTTAAATTTGTATTTTTATAGAACATCAGGAAAAAAACTCAACAATGTGGTTAGAAATTGGAAGGAATTTACTTTAAGAAGGAAAATGGGGGTAAATTAGAACCAAGAAACTTATGTTTAGGCTATTTCTTTTGGGTAATACAGTGGTCAAGGAATATATAGTTGCTTGCCTTTCAAATTCCTTGAAGGCTTGAAGGAGTTAAACCAGAAGTGCAATCTATAGGAATTATGTTGTATATTTATATATATAAAGTCTTTTTGTAAGGAAAGTTAGTTGTAACTTTTTCCAAAGTGCGCTAATATGCATATTTTTAATGAAAGATGACATGTATTTGCACAAAAATTCTCAGGCACATTAAATTATTATAAACTGAAGTGAAACCCAGGTGCTTGCTTTGAGAGAGTGTTGTTTTTGCTTGTTTGTTTTTTTCCTAATGTAAATTAAAACACTTTGTCTTGTTCCTGGCATCTTTCGAATTAGAGATGTCTCATGAGAGAGTTAAAGCTTCTTTTTCTTTGGTGTTCTTTTTTACAAACTGAAATGACAAAGGGAGACCATAAGATTAGGTTTCAACATTCAGCAGTTGACAAGGCTGCAAATTGGGCAGAAACCAATCTGTTTTGAATGTTCCCAGTCAGTCTGCTTCCATTGTCAGATGACATGGCTTAAGCCAGGTGGGGCCACTCAGGAAAACTTTCATGACATGAAAGACATGGGAAGTTAAGAGAAGGGACTAATTTTTTTGCTTATAAAAACAGTAGGTGTGTTACTTGGTTTTTTTGGTGCTTAGTTAGTAAAAGTTTTGCTCCTTTGCCCTGATTTAACTGAAAGGCAATTTTTAACTTCTGTTCCTGTGGTTTAACCCATATACCTCTCCCCAGGTCAGGGGGGTTCTTTCTTCTCTTGAGCCACTGCCCTACATGAAAAACTATGTACTGCAAAGAGTAAGAAAACCAACATGCAAGCGATGGTAAGAATCTGTGGGTTATTTGTGGTTTTTAGCACAGAATTCTTTCAATAAAACTTTTCCAAATTTCTCAAAAACAAAGAGTGAAGAGATGTCTGCTCCCTTTCTCCTTCACTCATCAAGCTGCTGTCTGCAGAGCATACACGCACACGCTCATAAAGGATTCCAGGTCAGTAAGTGTCCCTGAATGGAGTCAGCATTAAAGCAGAATTCCTGATGTGTAAACTTTATAAAGATTCCAACTTGCTTTTTTTTAAATGGCATTAGAATTTCTACTCTAAAGTAATTCCAGGGTGCTTCCTTTAGCCAACTCTTAAAGCTTTTCATTTGTTCCCTAAGAAAGTAATCTTCCTGTCACCTGGACATTTAAGTTTCCAGGAGTCGTCAGGAAGTAGGAAAATGTAGGACCAGAGTACTAAAGAGGGTTAAATTATTAGATTTACATATATAAACCACTATAAATTAAGCTAGATTTTTTATATGTTGAGTATAATTTGTATACTTTTTTATTAATCAATGCCTAAATGATCACTGGAGGCTGAGTGGTGTATTACCCAAATAACCACATCTGGTTCAGGAAAACCAGATTTGGGTTTTTGAAAATCTGATGCTGGTGTTCTGTCAGAAATACGATAATTGCATACTAGTGCATGCTTGTCTCTAGAAGTGAATCCTGTCTTAAAACTGGGTTTTGCTGGTTTTGAAGTTTCCACCTAATATCATTTTTAGGATAGCCTGAGAATATTATAACAACTGTCTGCAAACTATAAGAAGAAGAACTGGAGCCTTACAGCAAGTTCTTCCTCAATTTCTCTGTTATGCTTTGGTACTGTTCACATTTTTGTTTTCTTGTATAGCATTAGCTGGATATGTACTTTCATGCCAGTATGGGAAACCCCAGTCTTTTTTTTTTTTTTTTTATCATCCTTCAACAAGATTTTCAGTGATTATACCTCAGGTATTTCTGAGTATCCTGTTATCTAGTAGGATATAAAATCTTCTTGAGCTCAGAATTAAAAGTTCTCCAAAATTATGAAGATCCAAAATCTTATGTAGATAGCCTTGGCTCTTAGGGAGGAGCTCATGACCATTGTTAAAGTAGTTTTTTTAAAGTTTTGTGCTATTGCCCTTAGTGTGACATAAATGGTCACACTTTAGCAAGGGAGGAAAAGAGGCAACTCACAAGAGCCTATTCTCTATAAAAGATATATTTTGCATAGTATTCAAAGCTTGTTATTTTGTTCAACCATTCTAGTACATTAACTTTTGGCATGGGGGACTAGGGCTATCAGTGTTCAGTGTCCACTGCCCACTGTCAGGTGCACAGAGACCTGTGCTCTAAGAGCACTCAGCCACAGCACAATGTTGTTACTGTTCATGCTGCCCAGCACAGCCCTGAAAGTGAGTGTGACTGTGCTCTGTTTGTGGCAGCCAGGGAAATACTGTTGTGTGATATCTGGAACTTGACTTTGTCAAACAGCTCTTTGTGCACCTTCCTTTGCTTTGTTAATGTAAATCAGATAATAAATATAAGCAGCTTCTTAAATGTTCCTGTCTCCTGTGTTTTTGTACCAACCCTACACAGATAATTCTGCACTGTCTTTATGTTCTTTTTGGTTAGAAAACAACCTCTGTTTGTCAAGCCACACACAAAATAAACCTCTAATAGTCATAAATAGCAAACAGGTCTTAGTGTATTTCATAGATTTTTATAAAAAATATATAATACACAGTGTCCATATATAAATAAATGGCACCTTTTTATTAATCACAAGGGATTTAATAAAACAAAATTTTATGATAAAAACTCAGAGTAAATACCAAATCAAAATTAAAATGGATTTGACTAGATACTGATTGTTCTCTTTGTAATTTCTTTTCCTCTTTTAAGCTTTGAGTGTCTGTCTCCATCTTGCCTGTTCAAGTTATGGCAGCTGTAATACAACCATGAGGCCTCCCTCACTCAACACACAGAGGTTGGCATATAGAGACCAGTTCTCAGGGACAACTGCTGTGTTGTTAAACTGACCCTGGTGTCTCTGGATTTTGTACTTCATGAAGTTAGTAGGTCTCTTTAAGTCCCCAAAAAGTAAGAGCTGCACTGTTTTTAACTAACCCACAGCCCACATTTTGAGGAATACTATTAATACTGGTGTTCCTCAGGGTTCAGCTTTAGAACCTCTTCTATTCTTAGACAATACTGTCTCCCGTGTGATTTCACCCACCCCCTTCATTTCAAATACATCTACTCTGAAGACTACTAAATCTATTTCTAGCCCAAACTCTTCTTTTGAACTCCTAAAATGTAGTAGACATCACTACTTGGGTCTCTCCCTGGCACCTCAACATGTCCAAAACTGAACTCGTGATCTCTCTCTGAACTTATTGAAACCCAGGAATCATGCCCCTCTCCTTTTCCCTCACTCTGACATCCCGTCAGTCACCAGACCCCTACCCCTACTGCTGTTCCTCAAAGCAGGCATCCACTAGGTCTCCTCTGGACCTCTGCCGCAGACTCTTACTCATTTCCCCTGCCTCCTGTCTTGGCCCCACCAACTGTTTCTCTACTTTGCAGTCACAGCCATCTTTCCGATATGCAGACCTAGTCGGATCCCTTCTCTGATTAAAACTGTTGCCTGATTCATCATTGTAGAAGAGTAATTCTTGCTATGAACTCCCTCTGCATCAGGCTAGTCTCTTAATGTAATATGCATTGTACTTCTTTTGAAATGGTTTATTGACTTTTCCCATTAGGCTCTAGGCTCTGTTGAGCATAGGAACTGAGGTATGTCCCCACACCTAACCACAGTGCCTGACACGCAGGGGACAATATGTGTACAGTCTGAATTGATGACAATGTTTTGTAAACTGTGGGTTATGATCCATCAGTAGATCTGGAAACCAATCTAATGTGCTAGCACAGTCTTAATTTAGAAAAAACAAGTAACAAGCAGTAGAGATATTATTTCATGAAACTTATTATAAAACATATAGTGAGTTGCAGTAAAATCGAAAGGACAGGCAAGTACTTTTTCATTTTGTTTTGTTTGTATTCTCTTTTTGTTTGTTTGGAGACAGGGACTCACTATGTATCTCAGGCTGGCCTTGAATTCATGATGCTCCTACCTCAGAATCCTGAGTGCTGTGATTATAGGCTTGAGCTACCACACCTGGCAAGTACTTTTTTATTCTTTTTTTATTGTCATATTATTGTTGTACTGGGGGTACATTGTGACATTTACAAAAGTTCTTACAATATATCTTGGTTAAATTCACCCCCTCCATCATTCTCCTTTATGCCCCCTCCCCCTATTCCTGCAATAGTTTCAACAGGTCTCATTTTTCCATTTTCATACATGAGTACATAATATTTCCATCATATTCACCCTCCTACACCCTTTCCTTATATCCTCCCTAGTCTTTTTTCTATATTGAGAAAAAGCAACTTTATCTAGAAGAAAAAAAAAATGAAACCTTTGACAACCAGAAAAAGAAAATGCTGCTTTGGAGGATTTGTACTTTTACAGATTTCAAAGCCTTACATTCAAGGAAGAAAGTGCCTACTTTAGAGTTCTAGGCCTCTGTGAGTAAATGACAGAGGGACTTTAAATCCATTGCAAATTCTGCCTGGCAACTATGACTGTAGGCCAACTAAGCCTAGAAGTGCTATTTAATTATATTTGGTCTGACAATATATCTAAGCTTATTTTGCCTCATGGCTGATGATGAAAGTGGAAACCGCTTGTGACTTCCTTGCTGTTGAGGGAGGACTTTGATTTGGGTCTTAGAGAATTTAATTGGCTACTTCTCCAACTTTCTCTTTAAGAACAGCCTACCCTGAGCCAATAAGATGCTACCATTCTGTTTCCATAGTAATTAAAGAAACAAACCTTCACCTGCCATCTTCCAAGCCAAACCTCTCAAGTCAGGCTCAGTCAAAAGTCTCTGAGTGGAGAAGCATCTTTCTCCTCTGGTTTGACTTCCATTGCAACACCGGGAGACAACTAGATTGTCTTTAGAGGAGACGTTCATGTGCATGCCAGCTCAGTCTTTGTAAAAAGTCTTAGAAGAAGTTCACCAGAAATCTGTCTCTGCACCATTCATACTGTGGATTTCTGCTTTGGCATCTCAACCACTTGGGATAACCACTGAAGTCTTGAGTTCTGGAACCTCTGAATTTAATCTAAAATGAACTCTGATTTCATGTTGATGGGGAATAGTTTCTCCATAACACTGTAGTTTCTTTAAGACTTTTGACATGGGAAGGAACCACAGGGGAGAAGCAAATCTTTGAGCAGTCCAAGGTAAGTTCTTTGGAGAGGATGTTTTCTGCTGATTGTTTATACTAACTGGTGACCTCTCTGAAGGCTCTGCTGGCTCACTAACTGGCACCTTCAGCCCTCTGGGCCTCAAGTAAATTCACCAGGGAGAAATGCAGAAAAGGAAGAGAAGAGAGGGGAAAGAATCCTTAAAGAATCCTTACACACACACACACACACACACGTTTCTGAAAGGATACACAGAAAAGACTGTTAACAGTGTGCTGGAAGTCAAGGGCTGATGTTTAACTGGTATGCACAGTTAGTAAATGGCCATTGCCCAAAACACTCAAGTATCCTCCTTATCACCTTAGTTGTCCCAACTCCTCCCCTGGTACCCCTAGACCAACTCATGAGTAATAATTGGCCTGGGACAGAGGGAGTTTAGTGCTAGGGGACCCTGTTCCTACCCTGTAGCCCATGTCCACTCGGATTATTCAGTAGCCTGGTTGTTAGATGTTTTGAGTGTCGCTCCCATTGGTGCTTGGAGGGAGAGGACTTTACTTTTTTTTTTTTTAATACGGTTTTTACAAATATTGTTTATTTTAATGAAGCTGGTACAGACAATGTCCATTTAAAACCCATGTCCCAGGTCAAAAAGTACAAATAAAATCAAAAGGAGCAGTGTTCTGTTGGATACACTTCTGCGTGAATAACTTTATTCACTGCTAATGAAAATTAGAACTTTTCTGGGTTCTTCTGACAAGGTTTTTTTTAATCTTATGCTTTTCTCTTCAGTGAAGCCATCTTTGGAGTTAGTCATTAATCTCACCAGGTCTGTCACCTTGACTCCAAACCTGATATTCCTCTTCTTTTGGTCCAGACTCTTGGACTTTAAAAGTAGCTTCAAGTTAAGGAAAGGTCATTTTCCCACAGTTCAGTTCTATGAAAAACTTCCATCTCCCACTGAAAGTCAGTCCAGGAGTGAAGCAATCACATGCTAGAACTTCGGGGCCAATTGAAAAGTCATTTTGAACACTCACATTGGTCAATCTTATCACCACAAACCTGAAAATGCACAGTCCTGAAAAAAGTGGCCTCTCCGTGCACACGTGTAATTTTTCAAAAGGAGAAGGCAATATGAAGGGGGCTGAGGTTTGATCACCAAAAATCAGCACAATGAAAACAAATGATAATGAGCACTAGAATTCAAATTACCAGATATTTTAAAGAGATGGAGTACCAGTATTCAATTCCATTTTGAACACCACACTACAAAAGAACTATTATTAAAAATAAAAAAGGATTGAGGGAAAAGAAAAAAAAATGAAAAGTATCTAAACTGTTGAATGACCCCCCGTTTGTTCCTGATAAACTTCAATCACATCTTCTTCCTCCATTCCCAGTTCTTTGGAGTATGATTATCAGCAAGTCTCTGACCGTCAGAGAAACCTGAGTGAACTCATTGGAACTCCCTGTCTTTGACAGTATGATTCTTTGAATTTCTTGAGATGTGTTGTCATTTTCACTTTGAAGTGAATCTTACTACTATCCTGGCCAGTGACTTTGAGTTTAATATATTCTCATTCCTTCGTATCCCCCAAGTCCTCAATTGAAGATTTGCCTCCTGGTCAGACATGGTGATAGTGGCTTCACCCGGGGGTCTCCGCACAGCAGCAGCCTCGGGCAGGTAGAACCTCGCTGTGGGGTTTACAAGCCTGTCTCCCTTCCCCACAGCACAACATTGTAGCTTCAGGGACTTCCCAGGACTTTACTTTTTAAGAACAAATTAGTAAATATTGAAGCATTGTTTATAATGGGAAAAATGGAAACAACTAGACAAGAGTCAATAGAAAACCATAGAAATATGAGTACATCCATAGAATCGAAAGTTATAGTCACAATGACGTGGAAACAAATCTCAGATTTGTTTAAAACATTTTCTTTAAATTTGCTTTAAAATAATCTGATGTTGGAGGAGTGAGGTGGAGTCGCGGGCTATATAGATGAATTAGATTCAAGTAGCCATTCATTGTTTATTGTTCAAACTATAGGATGGATGAATTCATTGTACTCTTCTCAAATTTGGTACATTTAAAACTTTTTCCCATTTTAAAGACTTCAGCAACTACACTCACCTGGCTTGCTCAGCCCCCTCTGCTTCCCTGACCTCCTTGACTCTCTCTGACGCATGACATCTCCTGACAGGGTCCTCAAGCACAGTAGAGCATGGACACTTATATATGGCAGCCTTGTCACCTGATCTTCAGGCCTTAGCAGTTACTCACTCTCTGGCCTCCTTTCAAGCCCTGACCTCTACACCACACGGCCCCCTGGTCATGGGCCTCTAGCCCATCTCTACCTGTTTCACCATTCCTTTCTTCCAAAGCCTTAGCACCACAGCTCACTCAACTCTTCTGGTGACCACCTTCCCTACTGACAGCTAGCTCACGTCTCCAGTATCCACCAGTATTTAGCCAGTGCGCATTGTGTGAGCCTGTAGGTATTTGTGCTGTTAAATCAGCCTTTACACGTAGGCAGTAGTAACCTCATGCCTTTGTGTCTCAGTGTCCTCATTTGTAAAGGAGATTCAATCTTCAGATGGCCTTTAGCTCTAAAAGTAATTAGACAGTATACCTGCGTTTCTCAAGCATCAGTCATGTTACAGAAAAAGGTTTATTTCATTTTTCATCTGACTCTTAAGCAAATTTACTCCAGTGTAGCACTGAAGCCAGTCATCAACTTAGAAACTGAAGTTAAGTCTGCTATCATTGTAACACTTCTGTTGGGCTACTAGCTCTCATTACGGTTTTTTGACATTTTTGTTTTTATGAAATAATCCATGAATATTATTTTAAAATCAAATAATGTTAAACACTCATTAAGGAAAAGTCAATTTCTTTGTCACCGCCTCTCCCCATACCTATCGATTAGGGCTGGTGGAGTAACTCATTTTCGAGAAAGTTCTGTTCAGGAGCTGCTGTAAGAACTTCTTTTTTGCTTCAAGGAGAGATAGTGTAGCCTGATGCAGGAGCAGGAGCTTAGGAACCAGGGAGATGTGTTCACTCCCAACTTTGCATCTTTGCTTCTTCTGTGACCAACCCAAGCATACCCCCATCTGTAAAACTGAGGCAGTACTAACTGAGCACTAATTATGTACCTGTCTCACACAGTAAGAACTCAGTTATGGAAAAATTTTAAACTGCTTTCAAGTCAAGTCTGCTGGGTAACAATGAGTGATTTCTCTTCTACAGTCTGCCTCCACCATTGTTCTTTGGGCCTTCTCAATTTGTCTCTAAGTATTTTTGCTTTGACCCTAAGTTATTTAACTCTGTATTGCTGTTTCCTCATTTCAGCAAGAACTTCCACACCTAGCAGCCAAGACTGCCCCTGGCCTGGGCCATGTACCCCAACCCTCTCATCTACTGCACTTGCTGGGATCCCTGGAACTCAGGGCCACGGAAACTAATCAAGACCCCACAGCCCCCGGGCAAGACCTCAGTAGGGAGGTCCAAGTAAGGTTATCTGGGATGGGTAAGGTGTGGTGAGCTTGGCTTTTATCTGTAGCCTTCTTTGTCTCACAAGAGTACCAGCGCAGTAAGCCTGGCAGCAAAATCCCAAGTGGACCAGAAAAATCCCAGCTTCCAGGGCCTTCCCTGCCAGCCTGTGGGCTGCTCCTGACCTTGCCGCCCCTGCCTGAGCTCAGTGTCATTTTAAATAAGGAAGTCTCAGCCTCGGTGCAACAGACAAAGTTCCACTGCCCATGAAAAGGCTTTGGTGGCAGCACCCTCTCCCTGTGGGACAAGAGCTTTGGGACCTAGGGGACAAATTGTGCTGCCAAGCTGGAGACCCCGTGGGACAGTGGTCATGTGCTAAGGCCTAAGGTCTTTAAGGGCTCAGAGCTTCAGGATCCCAGTTATCACACCATATCGTCCAATTTGGGGTCACTGTGGGAATGTATGAGTGGGGAGTGTTGAAACAGGTTGTGAATTTCCAGTGTTCCCTTTTTAGTTACTGACTTTTCACTTTCAGGCTAACGCCCCTCACACCAGCTTCAAAAGAACACAATTACCTCCAATCTCAACCAACAGCAAAACCTGTTACTACCCCAAAGTAAGTCTTTTTAAGTCCACGAGGCAAGAGTATTTTGAGGCATGGGACTAAATTTTTCTCCCACCTTGACCTGGACTGCCCTGCCTGACTTGAACTTGATTACTTTCCTGAGTCTAAAATTTTCTATAAGTTGTGTCTGTGTTTCCATCACAAATTAAATTCACAATGTACAAACTCAGGAGTATAATTTAGTTTTAGCCTTTGCATGAGTCTTTGTATTCCATTTATTTGGAAAATATTTATTGAGCACTTATTATTTGTCAGGCACTGTTTCAGGTGCTGGGGAAATGACCATGAGCATGACAAAGTGTCTGTTTCCCTGGAACTGACAAGTCTTACACAGTGGGAAGTGGTCATAATAAGCCAATACATCCAATTTGGCAAGCAAAGGGAGTAGGGAATGTGGGTGTGGGGTTGTTGTTTTCAGGACAAGTCCCTGTGTAAAGGGGAAGGCAGGAACCATGCTGATGGCTGGAGCAGGCCCTCCTGGAAGGGGAACAACAAGACAGAGGCTCAGAGTGGGAACTTGCTTGGTATGTCTGGAATCTTCCAAGAAAGCAAAGAGGCCAAGATGGCAGGAGTGATGAAAGTAAGCCCAGAGAAGCGATCCATGAGGTACAAAGGGCAGTGTCTCCCACACCCCACAATGTCTGCATCCTAATCTCTGCAAACAATATGTTGTGTCACTTGCCAAAGAGGAGTTAGGGTGCATATTGAATTAAGGTAGATTAGCCTGCATTTTCTGGATAAGTCCAATGTAATCATGAAAGTCCTTGTATGTGAAAAAGGAAGTCAGAGCATTAGAGTCAGCAGTAGTTGTGACAGCAGAACAGAGGTGAAGTGATTCCTGGCTTTGAAGATGAGGAAAAGGCCAAAAGGGGCACAGGTAGCTTCCAGAAGCTGAAAAAAGCAAGGAAACGGACTAGCCCCCAGAACCTTCAGAGGAGCTCAGCCCTGCCCACACCTTGATTTTAGCCCAGTGAGACCCATTTCTGACATCAGCTTCACTGAAGCCCTGTATCAATGGATACCTGGCTACCCTAGAGATCTCCTGAGAAGGCTGGGTGACCTGGGCTCAGAGAACAGAGGTCAGCTGATGGTGGCATTGAGGCACAGCCCTGGTTCCTGTCTGAGCAGATCTTTTTCTTGCAGAGTGAAAGCCCAATTAGGAAAGCAAGAAGAGAGCAGTAAATCACCTTCCGTGAGTAAAAATGGGAACGGGGCAGGGAATGGCATTCATCCAGCACCTCCTGTGGGCAACCACAGGTCTTTTACACACACTACCTCATGGAATCTTTGCGATGATCCTAGGAGTAGGTGTGCATTATATGTGAAAACCAGATGGTGACAGCCAGTTCAGGCCAGGGTACTGTTCATGCCTACAAGCAGGAAGCCCTTTGCCATGCATGGATAGCCATGGATCCTGAGGCATGGGCTGTGAGGGTACCTGAGGGAAACAGGGACAAGAAGGTGCTGGGGAAAGAGATGGGAACTGAACCCAGAGGCCTCTTTTTTTTTTATTATTCATATGTACATACAATGTTTGGGTCATTTCTCCCCTCTTCTCCCACCCCCTCCCTTAACCAACCCACCCCCTTCCACTTACCCCCACCCCCTCAATATCCGGCAGAAACTATTTTGCCCTTATCTCTAATTTTGTTGTAGAGAGAGTATAAGCAATAATAGGAAGAACAAGGGTTTTTGCTAGTTGAGATAAGGATAGCTATACAGGGCGTTGACTCACATTAATTTCCTGTGCATGTGTGTTACCTTCTAGGTTAATTCTTCTTGATCTAACCTTTTCTCTAGTTCCTGGTCCCCTTCTCCTATTGGCCTCTGTTGCTTTAAAGTATCTGCTTTAGTTTCTCTGTGTTGAGGGCAACAAATGCTAGCTAATTTTTTAGATGTCTTACCTATCCTCATATCTCCCTTGTGTGCTCTAGCTTTATCATGTGATCAAAGTCCAATCCCCTTGTTGTGTTTACCCTTGATCTAATGTCCACATATGAGGGAGAACATAAGATTTTTGGTCTTTTGGGCCAGGCTAACCTCACTCAGAATGATATTATCCAGTTCCATTCATTTACCTGCGAATGATAGCATTTCATTCTTCTTCATGGCTGCATAAAATTCCATTGTGTATAAATACCACATTTTCTTTATCCATTCATCAGTAGTGGGGCATCTTGGCTGTTTCCATAACTTGGCTATTGTGAATAGTGCTACAATAAACATGGGTGTGAGGTGCCCCCAGAAGCCTCTTGACACCTGCCTTGCAATGTAAACCTCATCCCTGCGGTCTGTATGTGGTCAGCCTTTATGGTTCTGTCACAGGCAGTCAGTGAGGTTAGTTAGGTTTGGAAAGTTTGCCATCTGGTGGTATATTATGGGTTCTTTTTACTGTTTATTAATTTTTACCTATTTTCTTTTTTTCCATTAAACATAAATCATGCATTCCTTTGATGATCAGGAATAAAACCAACCAAACAGACAGAAAAATAATTGCCCTCTAGGTGAGAGGATGACAAACTTTGGGGAAGCCAGACTGATGTCTCACGAGAACCCTAGTGCAAGATACCAGTGGCCTGTGGCCACGTCAGGGCAAGGTGTGAAGAGGGAAGTGGGGTGGAGGTGCTGTTAGGAGACAGTGAAGATAGAATTACGGTGATGCTGGATATCTGGCAAAGCTCTAGAAGCTATGACTTATCCTGGTCCACGCCTGCTGGTGGTCCTGCCAGAATTTGAACTTAGCACCTAGTGGGGAAGGGAGGAGAAACTGACTGCATTTTTATTTTTATTTTTTGGCAACCACAGTGGCCATTTCTTTGGGTTATTTTGGAGTACCCCCCGTCCCACAAAAGCTCTCTGAGGAAGAGGTATTATCCCCATTTTCTGATGAGGTACCTAAGTCACAGAAATGTTGAATAGCTACAAGTTGGTGGCAGAGCCAAAGGTTCAAACTCAGGCAGTCCCTCAATGCCCAGTTTCCTCAATGCCCAGCTGCCTCCTAGCTCTTGCCACAACAGAGGATGCAGAGGAGGAGAAGAGCTGCTGGGCAGAGTGTGGATGTCCATGTTTCAAATTAGTCTTATTGAATTTGAGATGTCTCCAGGGACATCCAAGAGCCATTTGAAAGCCGGGATTTGACCTTGGAGATAGGAGGATCATGGTGACTTAGAGGGCACAGAAGGAACTTGGGCCTTGGGATGGCATCCCACAGCTCTGTTTATAAGAACTTAGTAAGGCAATAATAGAAGTTCTGGAGGAATCTCAGCATTCCAATCTGCAATTTTATTTTACCTTCTATCTTGGTGCCCAGGAAGTGATCAATGTGTCACCTGGCTATCAACTTGTTCGCAATCGTGAGCAGATTTTGGTCACCTTAGGGGATGAGATGTTCAATAGGAAAAAGAAGGTGGAATTTGATATCTTGGACACAGTCAGATTTTCCAGGTAATGTTTTTGAATCAACACCCAGCTCCTCAAAGGTAGCTTGTCCTGACCCAACCTCAAGAACAAATCCCTGACATCCATACCCAGGCCACCTGATCCCTGCTCTGAAGGTGCTGCTATGTTGAAAACCAAGTTAGTGTAACTCATACTAAAAAGAGCAATTGTTCTGGGAGTGAGGAACCAGTGGAATATTTGTAAAATGCTTTGGAGTTCAAGCAAGCAAATTAAGAGTAAAGGCATGGTTTCTGGGAAGCTGAGCTACATATCTTTTTTGCCCCCCATTATAGATGGTTCAAAAATACCATTCAGTTCATGCCTCTGGGAGGAGATGCAGTGTGGAAACTTCTGGGCCAGATCCATCCCACTGAGCACATAGCCATTCTGTCTGCCATTGAAGTCCTAACTGCTCACTATTTTCCAATGCCATACCCAGATTGTTCCCATACCTTTTTTTTTTTTCTTGGCAGAGCTGGGTTTGAACTTAGGGCCTCACACTTGCTAAGCAGGCACTCATATGCTTGCGCCATTACCAGCCCTTTTTTATGATGGATTTTTTCATGATATGAGTCTATTTTGCCCGAGGCTGGCTTCGAACCTTGATATTCCTTATCTCTACCTCCTGAGTAGAGCCTAGCTCCCCACCTTTCGATTCTACATTTTAAACCTGTCATTTCTATCTTCTACTCATGTTCAGCTATCTTCTGACCTGTACTGCTGAATGGCTCTCTGAGTGTCCCTTCCTTCAGACTTCAGTTTGCTATGAGAACTATTTTTCCAAGGTAGCAATAACAGAAAACACATACACACACACACACACACACACACACACACATACACAATCACTTACTCATCTATTAGTGTAGAAACTAACAGTTGGCAGTGGTTATCTCTGGGAAGGAATTCAGATTGGGGGTGCGACTGTGCCATTGAGTTGCCCTAATCTGAACCAGACCCAAATCCCTGCCTTCTCATCCAGTGGGGACATTCAGCCTGTTTCCTTTTCCTGCTCATCCATGACCTTCTGCAGGAAGAGAATAAGTTATGTGCTCCTAGTCAGGTTATACCTGCAGCTACCTGTGGGCCATAAGAGGCCTCAACTATAGTATAATAAAACAACCCCATGTTTGTTTGGTTCCCTAATAAATGTTGTTTTATTTATACTGAAAATCATGTTCAAAAGATAACGGTTCCTCATTATTCAAGTTTCTTATACCTTGGTACCTCCTTCTCCTCTATCCTCTCTGTCACCTCACTTTCTCTCCATACCCAGTTAGACATGGAGGATGATTGGCCAAAGGGTCAAGCCTCTTGCACCCTCTGCTCCACCACACATAGCATTGCCTGCCATCCTGTCTACTTCAACTAAGTTAGAGAGCTGAATAATTTAGAGATAGTGGGTGTTCCCAGACCCAGAAACACAGCAAATTATTACATATTCTGAAAGTCAGCTTTTTCTGGTACTGAGAATTAATCTCAGGGCCTTGTGTATACTTGGCAAGTGCTCTACCTCCTGCGCTGCTCCCTCAGCCCTTTTTAAAAAATGTGTTTTTGAGACAGTCTCAAAGGGAACTTCCACATCCTAAGTAGCAAGGGTTACAGTGTGAGCCACCATGCCTGACCTGAAAGCCACTGTTTTAAATACCTTCTTAGTCCCATCTCTGGCCCATTTCTTGTCTATGATTCACTGTTAACACCAATCTCATTCTCTACCTTCTCATTTCCTAATCCTCTGAACTTCTCCCTCCTTCATTTCAACTATCATTACAAAATCAAACTCTTAATAAATTTCTATTATATTTTTATTTCTCTTCTAACTCAATAATGCACCAAAGTACCTGGTTGCTTTTTTGCTAACCAAAAAGGCCAGATCTGAGGTTTGACCACCCTTCTATGAAATACCTTATCCAAGATCACCCCTCCATCACACAATCTACACCCATGATGTTGGAGCAGGTACAGAGTACGGCCTAGCTCTCACCAGACCAAAGTTAGTCAGTCCAGGACTGAGTAGCATGGAATGGTAAGCTCTGTGGATGATAGAATTTCTTGTCCCACAGGACCGGTATTATTTCTGACCTAGAGGAGCAAATCTCACAGCTGACAGCAATAATAGAACAAATGAACAGAGACCACCAGTCTGCCCAGAAATTGGTGAGTGATCCTTGTGTTATGTGCTGGGGTGAAATGTTGTAGGCTGGTGTTGAGGGTTCTTGCCTTCACAGGCCAGAGAACTGGCTCGAGAGGCAGCTGATTGACTTGTGAACCAAGGCCAGTACACGAAGTAGGATTTATTAGAAAGAAGGGAAAGGCTACGGCTAGAGCAGTGCAGCAGAGCCTGGAAACCAGTAGCTCCCTGCTCAGGTGAAGGCTGTGGCTTTTTATGGACACTTTAACTCTGGGTTAGGGTAACAGTTAGGTGGGTTTTTTCTATTGGCCATGGTGCAGGCTCTCTTAGATGAGCTGGTCTGTTGCCCCTTACTGGGGGGAGGGGGAACAACCTTGAGAGCATTCTGTTTATCAGCCCCATGGCAGATTTATGAGACCCTATATCTCCTCCTCAGGGTGTAGGAATGCAGATTTATAACTCCTCAGGGTGCAGGGCTCATAGTGCTCTCTATGGGGGATGGGATACTGACTCATTTGTCCTTTAGGTCCCCAGACCCAACACTTGCATTAGCCAACACCTTTATGGGTAGGGTAAGACTAATATTTTCAGGTTACCTATGTGCCAGGCAAGATGCCAAACACTTTACTCCAGTGAGCCATTTTGTCCAGGCAACAGGACTCTGAAAATAGGACTGTATGCCCAGTAGAATTTCTCTGAGTCTGTCTTCATCCCTAACTGTAAGAATTCAAGGCCAAATTTGTTCTTTTCAGGGAGTTCTCCAGGTGCCTCTGGGGTGTGCAAAGACATGGTCCTTTCTACACTAGGAGGTACCTGTCACTCTCCATCTGGCCTTGGTGGGAAAATGAGCTTCAGAGGTTATGAGGCTGTCACTAATGGTGCCGGCAGGGAGGATGCTTCTCAGAATCCTCTGGTGCCTATTTTCTGTTCCTGTTAAAGTCAACAAGGTCCACTCTTCAGAGTCTACTGGTATCATTTAATACTTTTTGTGCTCCGGATTTTATCATCAGCTCCATCACCATCCCTTCTTCCCCAGCTCAAGCAGATGTGTGTGGTGGCCTGGGCTAGAATGATAGGACAGAGCTCTGCTCAGGAACATCCTCCCTGGGGTTACTGAACCTCACTCATGAGGTGTTACCTCCATCATGTGGCCTCTCACCCTCTAATTTGTCCCAGGTGTGGATGAATCCTACACTATCCCAGTTTATGCCTCGGCTGAGATCTTTTCCCCACTGCTAATTCATTATCTCATTTCTCTGGAAAACTCTGACAGGTTGATGTCTCCTTTTATAGAAGGAAAAATGAGGTTTGGGGAATTTACCTCATTAAGATTATTCAACAGTAGTAGGTCATTAGGAAAAATGCATATTTTGACTCAGGAGCCTGACAAGCCTAGTGCAAGTTGCCAACAAGGATGGGTTCATCCAAGGCTTTAAGTTCCTTGAAGGCAGGGTCTGAGTGTTCATCATTTTTGACTCTTCCAGCCAAGCCCTTTGCTCACTAAATGATTGCTCAGTTGTTCATTTGGGCATACTACCCAAGAATCCAAAAGTCACAATCTTACAATGAAATGACAGCGTAACCAAGCAATCCAGATCTATTAGTGACAGAGATGGTTTCCATGCTAACATTAGTTACTGATTAGGCCTGGAGCAACGCCAAGCAAGGTAATAACATGCCCTCTGGGACTGCAGAACACACAGGGAGAGGTGTGGGGAAGGAGCGCTCCCTGTGAGAAGGAAGGCTTCGCAGAAGATGTAGCAAGAGTGTGGCTGAGGTCCCCATCCCTGTGTGGTTGACACTGGCCTCATTTCCAGCTCTCCAATGAAATGGACCTCCGCTGTGCTGAGATGAAACAGAACTATGAGAACATGAACAGGTATGCTTTCTGGCATGAGCCCTGGAAGCTGAAGGTGCTGAGGCTCCTTTGCAGGGTTCCCGTTCCCTGGGACTTCAGGTGGAATGTGACACAGAGGGTGCGGGGAGGTGACTGAGACAGGATAGCTTGATCTGAGACCACTGAAAGGAAGCATTTCAGTGCGTTTGCATTCCTTTTGTATTTTATTATCCAGCCTTTTGATTTCAATGATAATCTTTCTTTTTGTCTGAGAAAAACTATTTTTTGCCCTCTTGAGATTCCTGTGATAAACAACTGTTTTCTTAGCACAATCTCCTGCTCTTCCCTCTCATTCTTCTTTCTTTCTCTCATCTCTGCTTTCTTTGGTCAGTGCCTGAGCAAAATAGCAAGCCAGGATGGAAGGGGAAGGGCCAATAACAAACCAGGACAAATGGGGGGGGGCATGGAGCACGTCAGAATCCTCTTTCAGCGGCCTGCTAAGTCCCAGAGCACCCCTAGTGCACCCCTAGTTGAGTGATAGAATTTTATATATGTATTTATTCATTTACTTACTCATTTATAGACTTCACTTTTAGAACAGTTTTATAGCAATTGACAGGAAAGTACAGAGTTTCCATATTCCCCTATGTCCTCACCCTCACAGGCTTCCCCATTATCAATACACCATCAGAGTGCCAATTGATACATTTGTCCCAATTGATAAGCCTAAATAGATACATCATTATCATCCACCATTCATAGTTTAGCATTCACTCCTGGTGTTCAACATTCTACAGGCTTGGAAAAAATGTGAAGACATATACTCCCCATTAGAGTGTCACAGAGAATAGAGTCACTATCTTAATAGTCCTTTGTGCTCTGCCTTTCTGTCCCACCACCATCCAAGCCCTGGCAACCTGGGATCTTTTTACGGTCTCCATAGTTTTGCCTTTTCCAGCATGTTGGAATCGGACAGTGTGTAGCCTTTTCAGATGTCTTTGCCACTTAGTAATATGTGTTTAAGTTTCTTCCAACTCTTTTTTTATGGCTTGACGGCTCATGGACTTTCACTTTAACACTCTTCTCAAACAATGTGACTGTCTACCTCCTGGAGTAGAAGCTGAAGAGACCTTCGGTTGTAAGCTAACTCTGGGTGCTAAGTGGCTCAGTTTCCCCAGTGAACTATAAACAAAGACTGTGCTGACTAGTAGCGGGAGGCGATGGTCCCCACCAGCTCCATTCAAAACAGTGATTGTAGAAAATAAGGGTTCTCTCACCCCTTTCTGGATAGAAGCCAGGAGAAAGCCTCAGGAAGTAAGGGCCCCACTCCCAGTGTGAGGATGAAAGGAGAGGACAGGTCAGTATAACAGCTCAGTTTTGGACATCTTTTCACTGATGATTGTGACCTTCTGGGTCCCACAGGGAGCTCTCAAAGGCTCACAAATTGGAGCTTGGTGAGTTAGAGAACAAATACAAGGAAGCCTTGAAGGCAGAGAAGTCAGCTGCGCAAGAGAAACTAGGTACCGTACCGTGGGGAACTGGGAGAATGACCCTGGGTGAAGGGCCAAGAGGCCAGCAGGGTCTGGGCCAAGGAGCTCCCATATCCATGGACTTGCAGTGACTAGGTGTCCAAGGCTTCCTTCTGAAGCTAAGGGGAAGAGAGTGGCTAAGAATGAAACTGAAAAGAGGAAAGACTGGATCTACCGATGTCCTTTTCCCCTGAAGATCCAGGCAAGTCCCTTAATCTTTTTGAGTCTCAATTTCCCCATCTGGGATTGAGGACAAAAATAGCTGCCCTTATCAGTATGAGAGTATATGAACACACTTTTTAAAGTATGTTTAAAGTTCTACAACATAATACTAGCATGATTCAGCAAGTTTTCTCACCTGTAAAATGATGGTGTTTCATTAAATTCACTCTGACACATTGTGTTTGAATGGTCTTATAATGACCTAATAAGGGTCGTATTAGCCATTTAATCTCAATATTTTAACTACCCTTGAGAACAGTGAAGTATGTATCCTTCAGAATTCTGGGTATAGAGTAATAGCCACAGTGAAAAAGAGAAATTTTAGAGCCCTTCTTCCTTTATTTTAATGTTTTTTAAAGATGGTATCTTATAATATGCTTTGCTAATTTTCTAAAGAGAACATATATTGTTTTCATAATAATTGTAAACTAAGAGATGTTATTTAAACAAGAAGCATGCTTTACAAGGTTTTGTTCCTGCTTTCCCCACAGATGTAAGTACATGCAGGTTTACCACTAGGGCTTTTGTTAAAACTGTAGTTGAATAGACTTGGTGTGTATCAAAATCCCCAAGAAGCATATTTGTCAATGAATACTGGGTCCCTCTCCTAAGATCCCATTCATTTGGTTTAAGGTGGGGACCAGCATTTGAGTTTTTAACACACTTTCAGAATGATTTGTTGGGCACATGAAGACTTTACCACCCAGGGGAGGAGTTTGGGGTGGGGAGGTGTGCAGGAGGGCTCACATTTGAATGAAAATGTGTGTGTCAGAGGAATAACCATGACCTTGTTGTTGTTTTCCTTTTGTTCAGAGGAGCTAGGAAAGGAATATAAGTATCTGAAGAATATGTTTCATATGTATCAGGTGAGATTCCGAGAAGCTTGGTGGATTATGAGTGAGAAAAGCAGGCCCATTCCTGGTTGATAACGATGGGATGAATCTAGAGTTCTTGCCCAGAAAACAATGTCTTTAGACTCCAGCATCTCAGTGCTTTGCAAGCACAAATCACTGAGTTCAAACTCCAGTCCCACAAAAAACAAACAAACAAAAACAGTAGCCACTCAGACCCCAAAGAGGCCTATTGAAAAGTATGTTTATGGTTACAAAAGTAACACCTGTTCATTATTTTTTTGAGAAATGAAAATAACCAACAAGAGCAACAACATAATATAACATAAAGAAAGAAATATCACCACGTACAGGCAATCAGTATAAACATATGTACTTTGTTAAAACTATTGTCTAGATAGTATGGTATAAAATCTGTATACATTTTTGTAGCCTTTGTATCAGAAATCTTTCCCTCCTTTTTAATGGCTATCTATTATCCTAATGAAAGTGCATTGGGCATTTCACTATTTCTTTATATTTAGGTATTTGAGTTGTTTTCATCATTTGCTGTAACAGAAAATGTCACTTTGAATATCTTTGATTCTAGCAGTGAAGTGCTGGGTTAAAAGAAATGAACTATTTAAGGCTTTTAATAGATTCAGTCAAATTGTCATCCGAAAAGCTTATATCATGCTGCAACCCACAAACTGAACACAGGAAGGAGTTCTGTAGCCATAACTCATTTCTTTCATCAGCTATTTTTATTTATTTTATTTATTTTTTGGCGGTACTGGAGTTTGAACTGCTTGCTAGGCAGGTGTTCTACTGCTTCAACCATACCTCCAGCCCCTTTTACTTTTTTATTACGTACTTTTGTTTTGGAGAATAGGGTCTTGCTTTTTGCCCAGGCCTGAACCACAATCCTCCTATTTTTTTTTCCTCTTTCTTTTATTATTCATATGTGCATACAAGGCTTGGTTCATTTCTCCCCCTGCCCCCACCCCCTCCCTTACCACCCACTCTGCCCCCTCCCTCTTCCCCCTCTCCCTTAATACCCAGCAGAAACTATTTTGCCCTTATTTCTAATTTTGTTGTAGAGAGAGTATAAGCAATAATAGGAAGGAACAAGGGTTTTTGCTGGTTGAGATAAGGATAGCTATACAGGGCATTGACTCACATTGATTTCCTGTGCGTGGGTGTTACCTTCTAGGTTAATTCTTTTTGATCTAACCTTTTCTCTAGTACCTGTTCCCCTTCTCCTATTGGCCTCAGTTGCTTTTAAGGTATCTGCTTTAGTTTCTCTGCAGAGAAACTAAATCATCCTATTTTTATGCTTCCTACAGTTAAGATGACAGGTGTGTGCCACTATGCCCAGTGCCTCCCCCAACCTCCACCCACACACCACAGCATCACTGCGCCCAGCTTTTTATTTGTTGAGATGGAATCTCACTAAATTTTTCCCCAGGCCTCAAATCATGGTCCTCCCAATCTCAGCCTCCCAAGTAGCTCTGATTATAGGTGAGAGCCATCAGCACTCTTCATCAGCTAATTTGGTAAAGGCCCAGAGTTTGGTGTGATGAAGAGAGTAGGAGATGGGATAAGTCATCAGGGGAAGGACCGAGGTTCCAAGCACCCATCTTATTTAATTGTTAAGGACAGTGACCAACTAGTTCTGATTTCCTTGAGACTTTCCAGATTTGAGCACTGAAAGCCCAGGCTGGCCATACAGGAGCACAATGGGATATTTTGCAGAGAGTGTCCATTGTTTGTATAGCAACTAGATCTTCTCTTCGTAGTTGAGGTTAAATACACCTGACCCAATGCTACTCCTATTGATTGGCTCAAACTTCATCCACATGGAGCCTAAAGAGGGGAAGTTTACAACCTGGATGCTGCTAGGAAGTGTTCCAGGACGCTGACCCCCTTCCCTTCCAGGTCAATGGAGAATTCACACCTGGGGTGTCAGGGCTCATTTGGATGGAGGTCTCTCTTAACATTTTCACAACTGGGGAAGCTCAGTTGCCATGGAGGTCAACAGCCCTGGAAAGGCTCAGACTGAAGTAAGCACAAAGTTTACCTAGGAAATTGGAGCCAGTGAGTTCCAGATCAGCCTGGGCTACATGGGCTGCCTGAAAACAAACAAACAATCCCTTTGTTTTCTAGTGTTCACATTAATTCCAGGCATTTCCCTTCTTTCTTTGTGTGCTACTGAAGAGGGATTTACAATTCTGGGGTTGCTAACATGATTCTCCGACACAGAGAAGGAAGCCTATCTTTACAGGAAAACGAGTTCCAGCCTGGCAAATGCTGTGCACAGTTTTCCCTTGACCTTTAGGGTTCTATTAGCTTTTGCTGAGCTAGGATGGAATTTACTCTCCATAAGTTATCCATGGAGTGGCCCCTCAGTGAGGGCTGGGGTAAGGGGAGCAGCACAGGCACCACGCTGTGCTGACAGTGGGGTCCCCTGAAGTGCATTTACTGCCTCTACAAGGTCTCCCATTTAGGACCCTCTCCTTGATGGCCTTTCTGCCTCCACAGGACAGCATTTATGACAAAATGGAAGACACATGGACAAAGCGGAAGGCAGAATGGGAGAAGGATGAGAAGTTGGAGCGGGAAAAGATCCTGCTCCAACAAAGTGAGTACTACAGAAACTTGTGACTTTCGATGACGGGCATCAGAGTGCAGCTACTAAGCTGGGTCCTGACTTGAGGGAGGCAGCCTCGGATTTACCAAGGGTGACAGCCACGTGCCAAAACTCCCAAATGCAAGGTGCCAAGAGTCACGGAGAAAACAGTCAGGGGCTGACAGAGTGGCTCAAGCAGTAAGAGCACCTACCTACAAAGCATGAGGCCCCGAGTTCAAACCCCAGTGCTGCCAAAAGTTAAAAAAAAAAAAAAACCAAAGTGACAACAAGATTGTACCTTTTTAAAAGTCCAGACAACTGAACCATGGGAGTCTATGCCTGTACCTTCCAAAACTGACTAGTTCCAAGTTTGCCCACCATGGCCTGGAAAAGTATTGGGACTTCTAAAGGAATGTAGATACAGGTGACCCCAAAGTTCCAATGTTTCTTGAATTAGAATTTGAAATACTTAATTGTGTATGTGTGGGAGGCAACGCAGGCAATTACACTGAGATCCTCCATTCCTCCACATCCCCCCAAAGGGAGCCATGTTTGGTAAATATTTTTAATATTTTCAACATTTAGGTCAGAGCTTGAATCATACAAAGTGCTCCATAGGTGCACCTCCCACACTCCACTGAGCTTTTTCATAAATGAAAAAATGGAGAGAGGAATTTGTAGAGATTGTTCCCAAGCCTAAGTTGAGGTAGGAGCAGTCCTCTACAAACTTCTTCATTCTGCGTTCATTGTACATTCAGTCTGTTAAAGCCAAATTACTAACTTTCATGTGGAGATGTCCTGGGAAAATCAGCTCACCTTCTGATGGACTATGGCCCACACAGGACAGCATGAAGACCCTGGGATGGGGAGCTGCTCCTATTTGAGACTTTGTCTAAAATCCCGGAGAACCAGAGCCTGGGTCATCTCCCAACCTTCTAGCTATGCATACAATATGTGCTCCATGTTGCCAAAGTCTAACCACTCATTTGAAGTGACTCATTTGTTGGTACAGAACCACTCATTTTGAAAGACCTGTAGCTACACATCATGAAGATCAGTCCAGAGTTACTCTTTCAGCCCAGAAGCTCCCTACTCATCCCTAGAATCATGACATTCAGGGAATTTGTGTTTGCACCTTGCACCTCCTCTTTTCTGTTTGGTACTAGGGCTCTGCTGGCAAGTCTCCTTACCCAGGAAAGCAGTGTAAGCCTACCTCTATCCCAAGGCTAAAAACAGAATAAATTTTACACCTGGAAAATTCAGGCTAGACAAGAACTTTAAGATGAGAATATCCAAGAAAGCACAGTTGTTACTTTTGTAGAGAAAGTGGACAAAATAACAAGTGAACAGATCCAAAATATAAACACACAAAAGAACCAGAGATGTTGGCAGTTAATCCCATACAACTAATGTAATTAAGTGCAAGAACCATGCTCACCCCACCTTAAGCATCTCTAGGTGAGTGTCAGGCTAAAAGAACCCTGAGGTCACCCAGTCTGAAACTGCTTTTATCTTCAGATTTTCTGGTTTCTTTTCCCACATTGGCACATATATATATATTTTTTTCTTACTCCACAGAACATAGGATAGCAAAAAAGTTTGAGATAGAATCAGAAGAAGAAAAGAGGAAAATAAATGCATCCTACTGTGCTGTCTTTGAGAACTTCATCCGTGAAAAGGAGGTAACTCAGCCCAAAGCTCGTCAGTGTTGAATGTGGGGTCCAGGCAGTACATTTGAGTGCCCAGGTGTGCCTCGATAATGAGGTGATCTTTTTTGTCTTGGTGGGCATACTGCTCCTTGCCCAACAAGCCGTCTTGCTTCCCTTTACAGCTAGATAGTTTTACATGGGTTAAGAAATTGCAAATTGAAATTGTAATTAACTGAAAATATCAGAATGCTAAACATGCAAAACCTGAAATTCTCAGTTTTGCCAAAATTGTATCTTTTTATATCTTTGTGTATCTGAAGAGACAGGCTTTGGTGCAAACTAAACCAAGCAAATTTGATTATGCTTAAGTCTCAGTAAATGACAGTAGCTACCTAAATGTTAATGTAGGTGAGGGCTAACTACTACTGCTAGCCAATTCCCCATGACCCTACTACCGAGACCATGTTAGAAGGAAAGCTGGTCTCAGGTTATTAAGCAAATATGCAGAAGCAGGCGGCCCCAGGCATTCACACCACCAGCTCTCTGAGCTGTTATCTGCGCAAGAGGTTCACTGACAGTAGATGTGATGGCATTACAGGGGCAGGCTCTGCAACCTTTACAGTCAGCAGTAGGCAACCAGACAAGCTCCTAAGCAGGACGGCAGATCCTGGGAGCAAGTCTCATGCACCACCTCTAAGTGTACAGGCCACAGGATCCAAACTGTGTTAGATTTTTTACCCTTTTTGTGTTTTTATAGAATTTTGTATATTTTGACTATTTCATTTATGTGTCCATTTCTACCTATCACGTTAATTTCATTAATAAGCCCATTTCTAGTGCTCACTATTATTACTGAAGAAAACAATGAGGAGACAGAAGAGACACGCTCTGCAGTTTGTCCTTCTGGGGTTTAGAGGACTAAGTCCTCTGAATAAGAAGTAGCAATTCCTTGTGGTAGTAGGGAATTTGATCTGTATATGTCCTTTCCTTCCTATTATGTCTCCAGATGCTAACTCTCTCTCTC